CTGTCCCTCAGCTCTTCAGCTCAAGGCTAGTGCTCTACCACTTGAGCCACAGCGCCACTTCCAGCTTTTTTCTTTTTGCTTATGTGGTGCTGAAGAATTGAACCCAGGGCCTCATGCATGCAAGGCAAGCGCTCTACCACTGAGCCACCTTCCCAGACCATCTTGAGACTCTTATCTCCAATGAACCACCACTGCAGCTCAGTGGTAGAATGCGAGCCAAGAGCCAGAAAGCTCAGGGTCAGCACCCAGGCCCTGAGTTGAAGCCCCAGGACTGGCACAAATAAATAAATAAACACATAAATGCTACAACTCCCTTCCCCCTTCTTCCCTCCTCCTTTGCAATGCTAAGGGTGAAACCCAGGGCCTTGCACATGCTCGGCAGGCACTCTACCACTGAGATACACACCAGCTCCTGTTTACAGAGTATTTGTTTAGCGTATTCTGGACTGTGCTAGAAATTGAAAATCTATATAGAAGATAGTCTAGAGACAATTTTAAGTATAGAATCTATTATCTGAAATTCCAAGTTCTAATTCTATGATACAAAAGGTTTTGTATTATTGGGGTTTGAATTCACGGCCGTACTCGCTTACTTGGCTTCCACTTGAACTACACCTCTAGCCCTGCTTTTGGATCAGTCTCTCAGACTTTTTTGGCCTTGAACCAATAGCTAGGATTAGAGGTACTGCATTTTCTGTTTGTTGCTGTTCTAATAGAAAAAAGGTTTACGTTTGGTGCCAAAACTTGTTTAAAGAAATATGTAAACTCAATTTTATTTAGCTAATTTATTTATTCATTTCATTTACATACTTGGTTAATCATATATTTTACTGAAGTATGGTAATATGTTTGGAGATACTGGCACAGATATCCAACAAGCTGTTACGTAAGTTTCATTTAACTAACTAGCTTTAAGTCTGAAACATTCTGAATCCCAAATATGTTTGATTTCAGCATTCTAAATAAGAATTACATATTTGAACAAACACTAGAAACTATGAGCACAGTGATTTTATCAATAACGGAAGCAGTATTCAGTTGTCAACAATCTAATTAGTAGTAGTAGTAGTAGTATTGGTCGTTGTGCTGAGGACTGAATGCTCAGGGCCTTATATAAGCTGGGCAAGTGCTCTACTACTAAGCTACAAACTAAGCCGTAATGTAACTTTTAATATGCTCACTATGAAGAACACAAGTAGGATTAGAACAGTGCACTGGCAGCTCAGACAAATGATACCCTAAGACTTCAGGAATTCCTGGTTCCTGACCTCCTGTTTTATCCCGCATCCTTCCTCCAGGAAAGCCACAGACACTAGAATTCTTCCCCAGGGAAGAAGGAAGCAGAACCTCCGCTCCGCAAAGCCAGCCATAAAAGTTAGAAAGCACTGCCCTAATCCTCCCCTACCTTGCTACTTAAAAGCTGTCCATAAAAGATTCTCTGACCTACCTTGTTGGACTGAGCTCATGAGACCCCCATTCCACAAGGGAGCCTGCCTCATACCCAAAAGGGAGTAAGATTCAAAGAGAGGCCAGGAAGAATCTGGACAGACAGGCCTCGATACGTTTCCCTCCCTCCCACTTATATTACACCAGATCATATATATCATTTTTGTATCATCATATTTCTGCATGGCTGTCTTTATGCTTCATTGAACTGAGGCATAAATATGCAGTCAACCTGGCCGGGCACCGGTGGCTCACACTTGTCATCTTAGCTACTCAGGAAGCTGAGATCTGAGGATCCTGGTTCAAAGCCAGCCTGGGCAAGCAAGTCCATGAGATTTATCTCCAATAAACCACCAGAAAACCGGAGGTGGTGTTGTGGCTGAAGTGGTAGTGTGCTGGCCCTGAGCTGAAGAACTCAGGGACAGTGCCCAGGCCCAGAGTTCAAGCCCCAAGATGGACAAAAAAAAAAAAAGAAAGAAAATGGCATCAACCTTGCTCTTTGGGTCTTAAATCTGAAGGCTCCCATGTCATGTAAGACTAAGAGCAAATAAACCATTACTCTTTCTCCTGTTAACCTGTCTTTTGACACCCTGTATGTCAGCAGTGACCAGTCAGGGTAAGCAGGATGCACATCCCTTTTACTGCCCGGCAATGGCCGTGAACTGTAGCTGTTGTTTTTTTCTGTGACTCTGCAAAGGGAATACAAACATCTCTTTTTTGAAGTTAAGATTCTGAACTCACCCTTTCGCTTTTCACCGAGCCAGTAACATCATCATCGTTGAGGTGGCGCTTGAACTTGGGGGGCATATTTCTACTCACACTCTTCTATTTCCCAGCAGAGGCAGTATTCACCCTAAAGAGAAAATAAATCCTATCAAGCGGGAAACCTTTGGCCGAGGGTAAATCTCAGCGGCAGCGCACAAGGCCCCGTGTGCTGCGGTTCTCCTCCCTGTCACCACTTTAGAAACGCAAAATCCTTCAAGACAAGAGTATACTTCCCTAAGAAAATACCTGGAGGAAATGGGTCTCTTTAGGAGTTTGTAAAATGAAAGAAGGGATAGGGGTGGGTCCCTGAAAATGTTTTGCTCAATGATTTTATCTTGTAGTTGATGACAATCTTTCCTCATTTTTAATTAGCTGGGTAAGCAACGATTCTGTTTCCTCATCTAAAAAAATAAGTCATTTCTATGCTTTTGCATAAATTTGGGTGGTCACAAGATAATGCACACAGAAACATTCAAACTCATATTCCATTGGTGCTGCAGGAAGAGGGCTAAGTTTTGTAGGTACTAGTGAGATAGTGTAATGTATTATAATAATTATATATTTGTGTATATATATTCACTCACAAAGTAAGAGTACTTAAGCTCTGTCTGTCTATCTGTCTATCTGTCTGTCTATCTACCTACCGTCCTACCCACTTGAGGCACTCCTCCTGTTTTGAAGGCAGTATGGGGAAGTCTCGCGTGCTCCTGACTGGCAGCAGACGGCCCCAGCGTTAGAATGAGTGCTCCAGCAGCAAAGACCAGGGCATGATTAAAAGGCTGGGACATCTCAGCCCCCTCAGTCTCTGGGCTGCAGGTTGAGTTGACTCCCAGTGGCCAACGTAATCCAGGAGACCTACAAATGAAGCTTCCTTAAACATCCAAGAGGCGGCACTCCAGAGAGCTCCCAGAGAAGTGGACACACAGTGTTGTGTGAGAGTGGAAGTGCGCGGAAGCTCCAGGCTCCTGCTCCTACACCTTTCCCTAGGCACCTAAGACATCTATCTGCCCACACCCTTTGCCGCATCCTTTACGCTAAACCAGCAACTTAGGTGTCACCCTTAGTCTCTAAGACTAGCATTGCGATTGCCCCAATTTGTAGCTGATCAATCAGAAGCACAGACTGAACCACTGGAGGCTTGTGATCGGGTCTGAAGCGGAGGCACCCGGGAGACAGCCTTCAGCTTACAGCATCTGACACGATCTTCAAGTAGATCGCATCACAAGTTGATTTCTGCTCAAAAATCGGATGCAAAACTGCTTGCTTTCTGGAGGAGAGAAATCTTCATATAAAATGTGGGATTTAATGGGAGGGTCTTGTTATGAGGAAGAAGAAAATGAGTTTTCATACATTAAGCTTAGATTAAACAGAGTCCGTTTCCTTTGCTATCTCATAGACGTTGATATGCTAACATGCAGTGTGATTTTACAGGGAAGTACTTGCATATGAAACACCATCAAAATTTTCTCAAGAATGGGGCTGAGAAGGTGGCTCAGTGGTAGAGCGCTTGCCTTGCATGCTCGAGGCCCTGGGTTCGATTCCTCAGCACCACATAAGCAAAAAGAAAAAAGCCGGAAGTGGCGCTGTGGCTCAAGTGGTAGAGCACTAGCCTTGAGCTGAAGAGCTGAGGGACAGTGCCCAGGCCCAGAGTTCAGGCCCCACAACCGGACCAAAAAAAATTAAAAAAAAAAAAAAAAGAATACACTAGAGCAGGAAGTGGCGCTGTGGCTCAAGTGGTAGAGCGCTGGCCTTGAGCTGAAGAGCTGAGGGACAGTGCCCAGGCCCAGAGTTCAGGCCCCACGACCTACCGGGAGCCGGTGGCTCACCCCTATAATCCTAGCTACTCAGGAGGCTGAGATCTGAGGATCACAGTTCAAAGCAGCCCGGGCAGGAAAGTCCGTGAGATTCATCTCTAATTAATCATCAGAAAACTGGAAGTGGCGCTGTGGCTCAAGTGGTAGAGTACTAGCCTTGAGCAAAAAGAAGCTCAGGGACAGCACCCAGGCCCTGAGTTCAGGCCCCAAGACTGGCAACACACACACACACACACACACTAACGAAAGATACCTTGTCTAAGGCATGTGCAACTTTAGGTAAATAGCCCGGGTTGTGTCATCTGCAAATGGGTAGGCATTACTTAGATTCTGATTTAATTGTTCTGAGATGCTGTGAAATAGTAAGCCACGGAGGCCTGGGCTGGTTGGGATGCAGTGGCTCTGGAATGGACGCTTCTTTGTATTGTGGCTGTGACGGCCACTGCACCCAGACCCTGAACTTACCTTACTCCCTCTTAGGGTTTGTCTTGTGTCTGCATATCTGCATATGTTGGGGGTGGGTCTTACCTGCTTTGCTACCTTCACTGATTGGAACTTTAGCCAGTTACAGTCTCAGTTCTTGGACAGTTTAAGGAAATGTGATTATTGCGCAGAATGGGCATGTCACTGTGTAGCTTTTATGAATATCTGACTGCTTTCAGGTTTCTTTTCAGCCACAATCCTTTCGTGCTGCTGATTGTTTTTGGTTTCATTGCTTATAGATGGGATATTTGTGCGTATGTGCCTTCCAGAGCTAGGGTTTGAACTCGGCTGGGCGCTGTCCCTGAGCTTTTTTGCTCAGGGCTAGCATTCTCCCACATGAGCCACAGCTCCACTTCCAGCTCTTTGGGTAGTTAATTGGAGATGAGAGTCATGGACTTTCTTTCTGGGCTGGCTTTGAACTGCAGTCCTCAGATCTCAGCCTCCAGAGTAGTTAGGATTACAGGTGTGAGCCGCTAGCACCCAGTGGGAGAGGATTTTTTTTTTTAAGCCATACCATCTACTCACCTGAATACAGCCCCTTTGACTATCCCCAACATCTGTGAAAACTTAGAAAATGTCATTTTACAGCAAATTTTGAATCAAATAGACCAGTAAGCCTTAAAGATTATAAGTAGCATTGAGAATCAAAACTCCAGTCAACTCAAGCTACTTGCTTATTTCCTCCCCTACCTTATTTCTTCATGACCTCCATTTCCTCCGATGTTATTCATTTAAGTTTCTTTGTTTTCTGTTTTCCATTGTGAGACCTTGTTTCACATATATGTGAACCTGGTGTCCTCAGTAAAGGAATCATGTTGGGTTTATTTTTCTTTGTTTTATTTCGTTTTAATGAAGCAGCAGCTATGTTGTAACAGATAGGTAAAGTTCATTTGATCTAGTAATTTGACTTCTAAACTTTATGCCATAGATTTATAAAAGGGTTCTGTAAACAGTCTTTGCAGATTTTGTGTGTGTGTGTGTGTGTGTGTGTGTGTGTGTGTGTGTTCTACAGGGGCTTGAACACAGGGCCTAGGCACTATCCCTGAGCTTCTTTTGCTCAAGGCTTGCACTCTACCACTTGAACCACAGTGCCACTTCCAGCTCTTTAGGTGATTAATTGGAGATAAAAGAATCTCATGGACTTTCTGCTAGCTTCGAACTGTGATCCTCAGATCTCGGTCTCCTGAGTAGCTAGGATTACAGGTGTGAGTCATAGATGCCCTGCTGAAGATTTATTTTCTAATAGCAAGCCTGTAGGGGAAAAAATCTCTTAACTTTCAAGAAATAGGACTTTTGAAAAATAAGTATGGTATATCCATGAATGGAATAGTACACAGTCACCGAATGAACCAGATAGATCCATATGTACTGGCATGGAACTCCTCTGTGGTTTGTGGCTGTAAGGTGAGAAAAACAAGGAGATTCTACTTGTGTCACATTCACACACAAACGAGGAGAGCTGGTAGTCTAGGAACTGAATTGTGTTCCTTCTGAATTCACACACTGAAGCCCTTTCCCCGGGTGTGTTTGAAGATGAGACTTTTATAGCAGTGACTATACTTAAATGAAGTGTGCATGGTATGCAAGTTTGCGGACAGAGAAAAGAGACTGGGGACAAGGTGAGGAAGCGGCTATAATTGGAGGAGAGAAGTCTCCCCAGAAACCAGCCTCCATCACGAACCTTTACCCTCCAAAACAGAGACAATGAAATGTTTAAGAAGCCAACCAGTCCATTGCATTTTGTTATCACAGTCTTGGAGCCTTTCCTTGATGTCTGGTGCTTAATACTTCTCTCAAAGATAAAATGGCCACCATCTACCAAATGCCTGGTTGTATGCTGTTTTTATGATCAACACATACTCTGTATTTCCGCATAACAACCCACTAGTGTTCAATATCATTTCCCTCATTTTATTGATTAAGAAACCAAGATTCTGAGATGGCTTTATGTAATTTGTCCAAGGTTAGAGAATGGGCGCATGAGTCAAGGTTGCAGAGTTGTAAGCTGAAAATAAGGTGGGATAAACACTTTATCTAATAAGTAGACCACATACTGGGCCTAAAATAGAAGGAAGGCAGACACAGAGGCAGAATCTATCACACTTCACACTTGGGAGGATCTTACTTGATTTGGGAGGCTTTCTTTTCCTGAATGTCAAATACAACTTCAATTTCTTAGTGCTGTGGTGCAGTCCCCGTCAGCGCCTCCTTGACCTCTTATCCTTCCGACTAAGTGGACTGTAAAGGAAGACAGAAAGCAGGATGGTGAAGTCTTACTTTTTCTGCACTTTGACTTTTCTTCTTTCTCCCTTCCTTTTCTTTTTCATTTGGTACCAGTCCTGGGGCTTGAACTCAGGGTCAGGGCTCTGTCAACTCAGGGTCTTGAGCACTTTTGCACAATGCTAGTGCTCTACCACTTGAGCCACAGCTCCACTTCTGGCTTTTTGCTGGTTACTTGGAAATACAAGACTCATGGACTTTCCTACCTAGGTTGGCTTCAAACTGCAATCCTCAGACCTCAGCCTCCTGAGTAGTTAGAGGTGTGAGCCACCAATACCTGCTCTATACTTTGAAGAGAATAACAGCATTCTCAGAGCAAGAGAAACCTCCCAACTACTCTGTATGAAGAAGAATCCAAGGAAGAGTGAGTGTATACAACCATGTGTACACAAGCATGTCTTAGTCTGCATTATATTGCTATTAGAAACCACTGGAATCTGGGTACTTTATAAGGAAAAAAATGTTCCCTTAGCTAAACTGTGGAGCTTGAGAGTCCAGCATCCGGCAGGTTTATCAGTTTGGCCTGTGATGAGCTTCTCCTTGGTTACAACATGGTAGACGGCACATAGTAGTGGCACAGGTAATGGCACGTATGAGGAGAGGCCACGTGGTAAGACAGGAAACCAGCACCGTGAGGCTAGGTCGTGTTCCTTGGTTACATTTAACTCTGACACCAATAGCAACCCCTTCCAAGAGCAGAGCCCAGGGACAGGGCTCTCTAGGCTGGGGCCTATGTCACTCCTGGTAACTGCCCACACTCAGCTCCACCTCTTAATCTCTAAGCAGAGTATTTGAACATAAGTATGCTTCTGGAATTATAAGGGTGCAA